TTTTTTTTTTTTTTTTTTCTCTCATTGTTGGTTTGGCATTCGAGCGGGGAAGGAAGGCATAAACTTTCTGCTGAGACGTACCGCAGCTTCTCGCCCCTCTCCCCGCCGCCGGCCGCTCGATCGCGCCGGGACCCCTCAGCTCGCGGGAGGACCTCGCTCCGCGCCCCGCTCTGCGCCGCCCCCACCCCGCGGCGCCCGGTGCATGCCGTGCCGGGGACTCCGCGCGGGACGCCCGGTGAATGCGCGCCGCCCGCTGCCGGGTTGAGCCCCGCTGAGCGCCACGGCCGCGCCTCCCCGCCGGCTGCTGCGGCCGCTAGAGCCTCGCTAGCTGCGGCACGGCGCGGAGCCCACTGCTCGCGGTTATCCCCTCCCGCTCTCTCGTGCACCCGGAGAAGGCTCGGTTCCTCCTATCCTCTTTTTTTAAAATTATTTTTATTTTTTACTTCTGCCTTTTTTCCTCCCTCCCCGTTCCCCCCAACCTTTTCCCAATTTTTCCGCATTCGTCTCCCCGCGATGCCGCACGTGGAGATGCTGCTGCTGGCGGTCGCGGCGCTGTGGGTGTGCGTGCGCGGGCAGGAGCCCGGCGCCAAGGCGGTGGCCGACCGCTACGCCGTCTACTGGAACAGCACCAACCCCAGGTACGCGGGGACGGGGAGCGGGCGGCGGGGAGCGGCCCCAAGTCTATCGCCCCGCAGCCCGGCGACTGCGGGAGCTGCCCCCGTTCGCGTGGTGGGCCGGAAAACTTTCTTTTCCGGAGGGCCGGGGCTGCGAGCGGCGGCGGGGGGAAGAAAGGAGGGAGGGGTGCGGGGGGGCGTTTTTCTCCGTCCCGGCAGCTCGGCGCTTCCAGCTCTGGGGCCGCGGGCGCCGGGCGGCTGCGCCCCGCGGAGCTCCTCCGCCTCCGGCCGGGACCGGGGAGCCGGCCCGCCGGCGGCCACAGCCCCTCTTGAGGACGGTGCACTGCCCCGCGGCCCGTCGGGGCAGGTTGGTGCCCGGTCGGGGAGCGCGGTGTCGGCGGTGTCGGGAGGAGCGGGGCTCAGCCCGCGCCCTTTGCCGAGGTTCCCGTGCCCAGGGGGCGGCTGCTGCGGGCTGTGCGCGCCGCTGCGCCAACCTTCCGGGGAAAGGGAGGTTCGTGCAATTTTTCTGGAGTTTTCCCTCCAGTTTAGCATCGGAAAATCGCAGCCCCGCTCCAAATGGTATCCATGTGTTTGGGTAAAAAGTCACCTGGGGATTACGTTTTTTGCCTTCTTGCAGTACGTGCCAGCAGACTTTTTTTTTTTTTAAACCTGTCAAGCCAGTCTAAGTAAATTTGGGGCTATTTTATCTTAGGTTATCTCTTTTTTATGCCGCTGATACCGCTGTTTGGTTTAAGATTAGCGCATTGATTTTTGTCACAGGTCATGTTTTTTAATAGATCTGTGTCGCCTGCAGAAAACTCCCCTGCTCTGTATTCCGGAGCGGCCTCAGAATAGGTGGAGGAAGTTTCGGGCAGAATATCCAAGTGCGCAAAGGCAATAGTTCATTCTATGAGAGCTGTGGAGACTTTACTCCTCACTCCCATGTCTGTCCCGTGCTCCAGCGCTGCCTTCTGCTCTCAGCGCCGCAGCGCTGAACGGTTGGCGGAAAGAGCTCGAGACAAAAAGCATTTACCCAAAGTAGCAGTCGTGCCTGGGAGTGATGAGCATCTGCAGTTTTAAGTGCCCGTCTCTACGTTTTCCTCTCCTTATGTCTGCTTCTTGAAAAAAATAGTTCGTTGCAAATAAGATGAAAAGTTAAACCTAGCAGCACCACCAGTCTCAGAAATTGTTTGTCTCTCGAAAGCAGCTTTTTTTTGCTGCAGTCTTTAGGCAAAATGAAATGTTACTGTTGGAGGAAAAAAATGAAATGATATTCGCAAATCCCACTGGGCAGAAGCAGGGTTGTTGAAAGAAATAGGTTTGTCTAAATGATCTGCACATGTTGCTGGCGTAGCAGCTAAAAATAAAATGCTTCAAACGTAACCTTACATTCAGGATTTTTAACTTTGTGGTCCTGCGTGTGATGAGTGCACGGAGCTGCACATGTAGGCAGCGATAGGGACGGCCAGCCCTTGTCTGGAAGGCAGAGTTGTGCACTGAGTGGATTTGAAGGGATTTTAATAAGTTTAACGGTATTTCACCAGTGTTAATGAAATCTGTTCTTAATCCAGTGTTAAACATCAGCAGACTGTAGAGAAAACTTAGTTTTGTTATGCTTCCAAATAACCGCACGAAGGCTTGATCGCAAGATGCTGTGAAACCTTCCCGTTTGAAAACAAACATTTATTTTTCTCTTAAAACGTTCACTGCCCTCTCGCAATGAAAGCATCTATGTGGACGTGCCATGTTTATGCCTGAGTTAAAGCTATGAGAAGGAGCAGCGTACAGGCACATTTCCCCTTTGTTTTAAGCAGAGTGCCTCCTAAGTTACATGAGCGCTACAGAAAAGCAGGCAAATGCCTGGTGGGTTTGGTGCAGGAGACCCAGAGGGAAGGGAGCGCTTCTGAAATCACTTTGTCAAGATCTGGGGTGAAGGCAAAATTCAGTTTGGTTATCAGCACTTTGGGGTCAGCTAACAGTGCTGTAGGAGCAGCTTCACAGTGATTTATCTGCCTCCAGAGATAGGCAGATTCAGAGAGGGATGGTCTGGTTTTATACACATAGAATAGAAGTAAGTGGGAGTGTGTGCAGTGAGATAACAGTTTGAAGTGGGAAGGCAAAATATTCCGTCATTCCTCAGCCCCTAAACGCGGCCAGTCTGCTTCAGCTTACCTCCTTATTGTGTTTATTCAGAATTAACAAACCAGTGTGAGACTAATTAATTCAGTTTAAGAATGGAATGCTGATGCTGTTGATAGTGATTAAAGGCAAAGTAAAGAGAGGTTTTGTGAAAACGTTGTCTAAGAATTCCATATTGATTCAGTTTACCTCAGATACCATGTTTAGTTTTCCTAGTATGAAACTCCAGCAAATATACAGAAAGATCTCATCCTTATTAAGCGACACAGAACTGAATTGATGAGCAGCCCATTTTGAAAAGTGCTTCTTGTATGAACAGTATTTAGGTAAAGAGAGCCTGCGAGTCCATTAACAAAGTTGAGATTACATTTTTTGAAAAGTTGCCAAAGTTCTGCAAGAATAATTAAAAAGTACCACAGGATCATTATTGTGAGCATGATGAACAGAAAGTTGTGTATTCTTACAGAGCCTGAGTCTGTCATCACAAATAATTTAAGCCATATTTTCTGGTATAATTGCCAGCATACATGAAATGCTGTAAATGGTGTAGTGGTGTAGTCCAGTGCCAGATGAGTTTGAGTATTAGGCTTTTGAAGTATAATAAAATGTTTGGTTTATCTTTTTTTTTTTTTTTTTTTTTTTTTGTGTGTGTATTGAAAATGATTCATTGAGTAAGCTTGTAAGTATGTCTGATATTTTTGTACTTTTATTGTGGACTCAGAATTAGGCATACATAGATTCTAATCATTTCCTTAATGTCTTCCAGTGCTGACTGCATATATGGTCTTACACAGAAGAAAAAAGTATTCTTGTTGCAGAATACTCCCCTGAATCCAAAGTAGTTTTGGGAGTTTGTTTGGTAGTGGAGCATATGCATTTAATCCTGATAGCCGCTGTCCTTGTAATGAAAATCCAGCCCAAGTGTCATGCACCTGAGCCAAATTTTGAAGCGGTCTACTGACTTAGCACTTGCTAGTGCTTTTAATCTTGTAAAAGTTCAACTTGAACTGTTTGTGGTAATTATTACATTTTTCTGCTTGCAGGACTGTGTTTCATGGTTGTGGTTTACATATAGGTATTTTCCTCCAAGTTATTTCAGTGGCAGGTTCTGTAGCTTCGTAAATGCTTGCTGGTTTCAAGGTAGTTAAAAATACTTGCAGTTCGAGTCTGGATGACGGAGAGGCCAAACCTCATAGTCTCAGGAAAGCAAGTATTTTTTATTAGGAGTATTATTGGATTTGGCTATATCTTATGCAAGAAAATGGTGTACAAAATTACATCCCCAGAAGAACTCTTACAAAGGCATGGGATGCTGATGTATGTTCTTTGTGTGTGTGGACATCTGTTTATGTGGATAATAAAACTGAGAAGTCATCTGCTGATTACAGAATTTTATACAGCAGTAGCATTTCACATTCGGTTGACTAGCTCCAGTTACTAACCTGGATGCCATATTTTCATCAACAGTGGTAGGCTTTTTGTTAAGAGAGATACTTGGGAATCGTTGAACAGGAAAATAAGCAGATAAATGCTCTGCATGGAACAGGGTTTTCCAACCTGGATGTTTAAAGTTAGGTGAGTTTTGTGGTTGCGTAGGCACCGATCGTGAAGGACATCTGACTTTGCCAAGGTGCACTCTGTGTATGACACACTGGAGTCCTGCTGCAGTTGGTGGGTGTGCAGACGTGTGTGAGTGCTGCTCCAGTGCCACAGCACAGCCCTAGCACTCTGCCTGGCTGCCCCAACCTTCTCAGGACATGCGAGGTGGACCAGTGACCTCCCATTGCTTACCTGTGATTGAAGGCTTCATCACTGGCATAGTGATTGTGTATGCTGAGGTAGCGTGACTGTTTTTTTGCTTGCTTTCCATCTTGGAGTAGTTCTGTCTCTGTACGGAGATGGGGAAATCAGGCAGTTGGAATAGGAAAGAGGCCATTGCCTTTTTGAAGAACAACTAAGACGCAGGGGCTGAAGAGGGGCAAAATCGAGGCATTGGTTTGGCTTTGGTGTTCTATATCATTTCTATGTGCCAAAGAAAGCATAATATCCCTTAAGTACTCAGAGTGTATAAGCAGTATAGCTTATGTTTTGAAAGCATTTTATCCGGCAGCCTATTTCAAGAACTGAAAGAATCTTTGACTGATTTATTGTAGTTAAAAGATCAGTACCAGAGCCTTCGATTCTTTTTGCTTGCTTTCTGTACCCTTGGTTTTGCTAACGCTTTGTGTCTCCAAAAGAATTCTGGTATTTATTTTAAAAGTGGATTTTTGAGGGAGTTGGAAGCATTCTATGGAAAAACCACACAAAGAACAATAGTTACACTGGTTTCCACCTTCTTGTGAAAGGCACCTTGTTAAGTGGTAAATGGTCTTCATGAAAAACTTCTTACCAAGTCTCTCTGAAATGCACAGAGTTAGGACACTTTACTACCCTTTCTTCTGCTAGCACTGGGAGGTGAGGGACTGATGAAGAAGATCTGTCCTCTTCTCATGCCCC